AATTTGTAAACGTAATAAAGCTACTAACAAATAAGCTGAGGCTTAAATGCTTTAAACAATTTCGTTTAAAGTCATCATTTTGCAAATGTGATGGTTGTTAGAATAACCTTGTATGCTTATTCAACTTAATATCATTGGATCAAATTTTGAAAGACTAGTTGCATAAAAATGTCAGGTCTATGTTTTCCATCTAATGTCGTCTATGGAATATGTTTTATCTACAGAGATGGCAAATCCTCCTAAACACACCTTGTTTAAATGATAAATTTTCTTCAAAATTATCAAAGGAAAAATATATATTATTTTTTATCCAAATGCATTGAAGAATAAAGGTCATTTTTTTTAACTTAGAAAGGAGATGGTTTGATCTTAAGTATCTTAAAAAGGCCTAGGACAAAGGCATTAGATTTGGGCTTATTGGCCTTGTAAAAGGTGAGCAAAAATTAAAACATGTTGCAGAAATTTATTTTTTGATTCGCGGATCGCTTGCTATAGTATGGACATATGTTTGGTTTTGAACACATGTACATGTACCATGTACGTGTATATTTTGAGTTTGTTTTGTTTTTGACCTAAATTTTGACCTTTAATACTCTAGAAATATATAATACAAGTGTTCTCTTTCCGGTACTAGTTATGGCTTAATAAACCTTATGACAATGTTACCTCGAGAATAACAAAAGTCGACTTCTCTGGGTCTCTGAATATAGCCCTGATCTACAATAAATGTTCTCATATATGATATTCTAGTATATTATTCAATGAATAAAGTAATTCTTCATTAAGTACTTTTTCCTCTTTTAAAATTGTTTGAAATAAAGAAAGTGAAGATTTAAATGCTTTTGATAAAGGAATAAATGAGTGAAAATCACTTGTAAGATCTTCTTGATCCAGTGCATTCATTAGTACACTGTACTTCAAAACTGAGCTGCTGATCACGAAGAGCAAACTTACTTTTGCTGTCCAAATGATAACAAAACATATTTGGGATTAAAAAAGTTGAAAGGTTATATGATTAATTAATTTTCAGTGAAATATTCTTTGAATTTTAAAAGGTATTTTAAAGGTACACAAAAATATTTTAAGAAAAACTTGACCACTCTCTTTGAACATTTGAAAAAAAATTATACGTATTATTTTAATATTTTTAGAAAATTATAGCATTTGTATTTTTTAAAAGATAAAAATTAGAGAGAACTCGTTTTCACGAACTAATTAAAATAACACAGATACATTTCTTAAGTTTACATTTAATTCAACAAGAATTTATATGGATTGCTTTAAAAGTAAGTATTTAAAGTTGTAACTGTACAGTTTTTGTGGGCGTTTCTTATGCAAATGAGCAAAATTATTTCTAAAATATCATTTATTTTTAGCATTACAAAGCTGTATATATTCACGAATTATATGGATTGAAACCCTTTGTATTTTATTTAAAATTTTACAAAATAAACTTATGTGAGCCCGCGTAAAGCAGTGGTCAAAGCGTTTGCTCTAGACTCACAGAGAAAGGTATTGATCCTTTCGTCACGGGTTTGAATACCACTATGAAATCCCAAGACCTGCCCATCGGACGAAACCGTATAAACCGAGATTCTGTGTCGCAGAAGATGCTTGTACAAAAAGACCTGTCGCTGCTTGAAGGTTTTTAGACCAAATACATAATTGTCTAATTTTGCAACACACCAGGGGCAAATGGTGCAAAAACCTGTAATTTCTATCTTCTAAGTGAATCATTTTTTTTTCTGTTGTTGGTGTCAACTACGCGCCTGTAAGAAAAGTTATGAAATGCTTCGTTTTATTCATAAAGAAGGTACCGAAAAATACGTAAGTCGATTTCTGATTGGAGAAACAAAGTCAAGCAAGTTTGTAAAAAATATGGGAAATAAATCATGTAAATGGTCAAGATAACCTTAAATTTACTTTTAATTGACGAAAATCTCATTCGTGAACGTGCATTGCTATACATTGCTCTGTATTCAGATGATAAAAGGGCCTATAGCTTTGTTCTAAAACTTGCAAATTGACCTATATTTTGTAAAGATTTCATACCAAGTATTCTCTTTCCGGTACTATTTAAACTAGACAAGATCCTAAGCTTCTGTGAAACAATTGTTGTGGTTTCTTAATTCATCAACATACTAGTTACTTAACACTTATCACTCACAAATCCCAATAGATGTGTACACATGACAATTAATCACAATATGTATCTTAAGCTTGCTTTGTAAAATTAATGTAATGAGATTATTCATTTACATCCTTAAGATTCGTCGCCATGGAAGAACATTGAATTAGATAATTAAGCACTTAGATGTGACAAATTTCTGCGTGGGCCCAAATAATGCAAGCTTTAATTTTGGTATTTAACCTCAAGAGGGTCAAGAAGAGTAATATGTACATGTAGATTTGAGAAGTTTAACACAGTTCCTATTATATACATCTTCATTTTTGCACAAAACCATCAGGCATAAAATACTGACATAATCAAATGGCTTGGAGTAAAACGTTGGAAAAATAATTCAATAATAAATGCATTGCAACTTTTTTTATTTGAAAAAAGTATATAAAGATAATAACAAACAGTGAATAATGTCATAAAACCTATACAAAATACAAAAAGAGCTGATATACATACCCCTGAAAAACAAAATAGTTGGGATTAGACACTGAAGAGGAGTAGCCATCCCCTGTTGACATGTCACATACGAAAATTAAATTAAGCCCTATATATTGATCAGCTAAACAGATTACTCTATATTCATGACTAAGTATGCATGTGTTTGGGGGTTATATCCAATACATTTTTTTTCAAGGACAGATGATATAAACAAACTTTGGTAAAATTTTTTGAAAATAACAACTTGGATCATGTTTTAATGATTAAAATGAATAAATTTCACCGCGTAGTTTTGAATTATTTCTTCAAAGCTGCACAAATACGGAATTTGAAGTGAAAAATATATGTATAGAATAATAAGGATGGTTTCAGAAGGGTAGAATTTTTAACATCACAGAAGGTAATTTAAAATTTCTTTATATTCTAGAAATCTATTGCATCGTTTGCAATGAAATTAGGTCAAAAAATATATACCAATCCAGGCATATATTTTTTGTTTATATCATCTGTCCTTCAGAGCTTTAGAGTTGTAGAATATATCTTCACGCTATTATAGATTCTTTGAAAATAACAAGTCAGTAAAATATCCGAGTATGAAACAGATGATTCAGACCGAAATCTTTTTATTTTTGAGTTCACTGGAATACTGTATATTGAGTTGTGCTATGAATGAAAATAACTATTTGTATTGATAAAATGTAACCAATATTTCAAAATCAAAACAATTTTTTCAATACTTTTTCCCTACAAGTTTTTTGCTTCATAAATACATAAAAATCCAGATCTGCTATTAAAAGAGCCGATTACTGCCATTTTACTCCAATAAATTATATTGTTGCAAACATGGTCTTCAAAAACTTCCTTTCATGAAAATTGTAAACGAATTGTAAACGAAGAACTTCTTCCTTATGTCAACATAAAGAGTACGTTTATATAGAACCAGAATGAGTTTCTGTTAGGATAATAAAATGTGTTAGAACGATTTAACATAAAACCATATGGACAAAGACTTTGTGAAGTACAGTGTATGTACGAATACTTCACGAACTTCACAAAGTTTTTGTTCATATGTTTGTTTAAATAGTTTTGTAATTATAACAAGATTATTGATTCCTTTCTAACATCAACTAATTTGTTCGAAGCTTGCTTTGCTTTCGAAACCAATCCTACGTTTAACAAGTTCTTATGTCTGCTACATAAAACACGTAAAAAAAAAGTTGATGATGGAACAATTCAAGATATTAGACAGTTTACTTACCGTAAGTTTTGTTTTTTATTATAAAAATATCTTTCTCTATAAAACATCCAAATGTGAAACAGTTGTGTCAAACTCCGTGGTACCTTTAATTCAAGTTTATTTTAATAAATGTATTAATGAAAACAGTGTTGTTTGTAGATGAAATGTCGTCTTATATGTAATATGTCGAATTTGAAGGACACTGCAAAAGATTTTTTGTTTTATGTAAATTTTAGAAGACAAAAGCAGATCGGCTTTCTGAATACAATGATATTGATAAAGGAGTTGACTATGATGTCAAAAATGTCTTTTGTTTATCGGAAAAAGCTTTTTTTTTTGGTTTATTAAAATGCAAAATGCATTAAATCCTTCAAGTGAAATACTTTTTGAAGAAAATACGTATTTTATCTGATGATCACTGTACCTTTTGTAAACTCGATATAGAAACAATACAACATATATTTTTGAACAAAAATTTCTTCACTATGTTATTTTTTTACAAAAACTTCTAAATATTTAACACATGGCAATATTATTTTAGGTGAAACGCCATTTTCTTATCATAATAGTGTGATAAATTTCATTATTTTATATACAAAGCAATATATTTTTTCTTGTTTAAAGCAGAACAAAATTCTTATGATTACTGGGCTGCTACATCATTTCACTCTTAAGTACAAAGTAGAAAAATGCATATCAATTCAAAAGATTACGATGAACAATTTTGAAAATCTATGGTCACCATGGATTCATATTTGTGAGTTATAAACATTTATTAAAACACCAACTATAAATATTTCTTGAATGGAATGATATTGATAATATTTCATATCATGTCAAATCATGTGAATGTGTGTGTGAATGTGACTAAATCTTATTATGTAACTTGACATGTTACTTTTTGAAATAAAAAAAAATGCATTAAATTGGTATTGGTATAAAAATTTCAAGAATAGCTTCCTTCGAAAAACATGGCGAACACATTATCAATTAATTAAAAAAGTAACATTGTCGTTGAAAGTAAATATATGTAGAACTTTCAATGTTAAATACTAAAGTAGTTGTTCTGATTGATATTGTGTCATATATAAGTACTATACTCACTATTTGACTTATTGATGTAGGGCATTTATATTTTTACAGTGCGACATGGGACTAATCTGTTATGGTCTATGAGTCCTTTAGTGAACGGAAAAGCAAGGATTGTAGGGATTGAAGGTGACCCAAATGTATGGATTCCCAGTGGTAATGTAAGTGTCCGCCACATCAGCGCTCCACATTCCGCCTGGCAGTTCAGGGGCCTAGCCTTCCACTACCGATTCAAGACTCTCTACTGGAGCGAGAGGAGCAAACACAGGATACAAGGACTGATGTTGGTCAATCGATCCACAACGACCAAGACGATATTCACAGGAACTTCTGGTAGCATTGATGGTTTGGGAGTGGATTGGATCTCTAATAATCTTTACTCGGTCGATCCCAAATACAATTGGATCAAGATGTTTGCTCTAAAAGAAAATTCGACAGAGGACCCTGTTTATAAAGTAGTGGTTCAGACAGATCTTGAAAATCCTCATGGGATAGCTGTTTATCCACAAAAAGGGTGAAATAACTTTTTCCTTACCTATATATGGGGCACGCTATGTAATTTTCTATTTTCCTACAAGATATCTCTATATGTAATCTCCACATTTTGCAATTGTACTTCAAATTACTATGTATATGCACTATCCAATTTTAGATTTTAATGATTTTATTTCTATTTTTTGTAGTCATTTGTTTTGGAGTGATTGGGGATTTTTTCCGAAAATAGAAATGTCTGACCTTTTAGGATTGAATAGGAGAACTGTCGTATCGGACAATATGCTAGCTCCACGTGGTATTGCTATTGACTACAAAGAGAACGTTCTGTACTGGGTAGATAGCCACAAAAACACCATAGAGAGTGTACAGTTTAACGGAAACAGTAGGCGAATCATTGTTTCTCAAGCAGGCGCCAAATTCTTCGGAGTAGCTTTATTTCAGGTAACCTATCTGTAAATATTTAAGAATGTGTATAGAATAACAAAATACTAGATAAAGATTCTGTTCCAATCTTTACAATTTTTATTTGAAGAATTTGGGACTAAACTATTAGATGAGTGTTGATATGAAATAAGATAACGATTAGTATTCAAAATTAAAGATTAGAACAATAAAATTGGAGAAGAGCAAACAGAGGTTGGAACAGGTGTCATTGAGACGTGATAATCTCCTGTCCATCAAATCACACCAGTTGTGTGCCCCAAGTGTCCAATAAACTGGAAAATTTGTAGAATTTTCAGTTTTAATATACATGAAATGTCTGACAATTTGCAATCCACACTGGCACTTCCGACGTAAATCTTTATTCCCAAAAATATCTTTATATAACTTATATAGAAAAATACTTTTGGACCACTGTACATTCCGAATTCCGACATCTCTTTGTAAACACAGCCTATTAATTGCATTGCAGTTTCACCTGTGTTATCCGACATAATTACACGGCTGGTTAAACCCCAGTTGAAAATTTGTTTACACTGTATTCACCCATTGAGTATGAAATGAGGGGATTAGATACGGCTGAACGCACGCAGTCACCTTACCTGTGTTAATAATTGGCACACTAATTGATATGTTTTGATACAGTTTGATGATCAGCTTCGGGTTTAAATTAAATTTCAGTGATGTAATCGACAATTATGATAATTATTTGCAAATTTTTCCAAGGTTAGATTTTAATTATTTAACTATTGGCTTGTGTTTGACAATTTGTTTGGACATTTTTAATGCATCAAAGTAACAGGACCATAAACTTGAGAATTGTCACAAACAGTATGAAATACATAACCATATTAAAGAAACAAATAAAAAAACATTTTTTTTTTGTTTAATATTACGTACTATTTATCCTGGGGGAAATAAATTTATGACGGAATAAAGTCAGGCATTTATCTGCTTATATCCGTTTCCAAAATGGCGGCTATCAAGAAGGAATGTAAACATGTGCTGATTAAAAATGGCAATAAATATTAAAAAACAATTTTTATAAGTCATTTTATTAGAAAAATGGTATCACATTAAATTCATAAGTAAATTCAACAATTTAATTTAGGAGAATAGCCAGGTAAAGTGATCAAACGAAACGAAAGTGTAAGTTTGAAATTTGCTACGATGTATTGTCAATACGTAGCTCTATACATCTTTGTGTGGACTTGAAATGTGACAGAAATAGCCAACACTGAGTAATCCGACACACTGTTTAATCCGACATAAATTTAATTTCCAATGGCATGTCGGATAAGACAGGTTTCACTGTATTGGTCTGACAATTTGTATAAAAATCAGTAATTTTTTTTATCTAACGAAGGTTGTATTTGATAACAATGCCATTTTTGGTCCATTTTGTCGACATTAAAATTTGCGACTTTAAACAAGAATGATTTCTTCCCTGTTTCATCAACTTATTTGTTAAGGTCATGATTTTAGACAACCAAATTAAAAATTATATTGCAATCTATTCAGAATAACATTGCGAAGACTAATGTGGTTTTGAATTTTCTGCTGAAAGGCGATCAAATGAAGTATATGTTTGTGCATTGCTTCTACCAAAATTGAATTGAGGAGTATGCCAAATAAAGTAGGTTTCTTTGTTATATTCAAGGCTTGGAAGTGTTTGGTATCCTTTAATCTTCAAACATCATTTTAAAAGAAATCTCCAATGGAGAGGATAAAAAAAATCGAATATGTAAAAGAAATAAGCTGCTTTCTACAAGCATGAATAAATAATCTTTGCTTAGATAATTAACTTTTATTTATCAACAATTTACAGGATAACCCATGAGCACAGACTTTGGAATTCTAGATTCTAAAATAATTTGTTATGCATGATATAATAATTTATTTTGGAAAATCCAATGTGCCGATACATGCACATTATTTATATTGATTATGTTGACCAAATAAACTTGTAGTTTTCTAATAACCAAAAACCAATATCAATTAAATATTGAATTGAAAACCATTTGCCTCTGTGTTTTAGAAATACCTGTTTGTTTCGGAACAGTTGGATGGACATCTGCGAATTTATGACAAAAACACAGGAAAAGGCTACATTAATTATCAACTTGGATATATCCCTTATGACGTCACGATGTACGACGAAACATTACAACCAGGAAATTCAAGTAAATACCAAAATCTGTTTTTTCTGGCTTTTGTTCTTTTGATTTATGCATAAAATAATAGTTACAGTCTAAAGTCAGAACATTTGTAATGGATCTGATTTTTTTTAATCAGAAAAAACTTTATTCAATGTTGGAAAACAGGTGAATGCGATCAGTTGAACTGTGACCAGATTTGCGTCAATATGCCGTTGTCTGGAGCAAGGTGTTACTGTGGTGACGGCTACGAAATACAAGAAGATCAGAAAACCTGTGTAGGTAAGAGATTTTAAGCATATCAAATTAGACACAAAACACGAAAAAACACAAGAGAAGAGGGAACCTTAACCAAACCCAAAATGACAAACAAACCAAACAGAAGAGCCCTCCACACAAAATATTGACAACTGAGTGGAATATTCTCATAACGGGTTACTTTTCTTGGTCCATATGAATATAATAAATCTACAATAACTATTCCTTTAATGAAGACTTATGGTCAATAATTATGGATATTATAAAGTAAAGTAAACCTTGTGATTTCAGCATAACTCTTCATATAATCCTCATATAGTTCTTCCAAAATATAAAAAAACTTATTCTAAACAAGTCATCTGTGTACACTACAATATTTCAATGACGTTTTCAGAATCTAATAACCACGATGTTTGTGAATTAAAGTGGTCCACGGGATGTAAAAATTAGATTCCATATAATGGCTATATATGTATATGATATAATGATTCAACTCTAATTATGTTACTTTGAATACTTTCATATTTGTAGAGAGAGAAAGATCAATGAAAACTATTAATCTTCAAATTGTAAAATTGATTTTCCAGACCTTTCAAGAATCAAAATCAAAACAATGATATAAGTTTCAAAAAAAAAATTTGAAAAGTTTGTTTAAAATGCAGAAAACCTGAAAAAATTTATTATCATAAGTCAGGAAGGTTTGCGTGCACATTTCTTGTACAACTCTAACTATTGAAACTCTTGACGTGAACTAATGTATATGCAGTATGTTTTACTTATTAGAAAACCTTTTTTTTTTATTTTGCATCAATCAGAAGCTGTCTTAGTATAATACCGTGCATTTATTTGACAAACTTGATATATAGTTTTACACATTAACCCTGGGAAGTTATATTTCTAGAAGAGATAGGAAAGATATCTTCAGGAAATGTTCAGATATGTTCAGGAAACAAAGTTCTTTCTTGCAGCTTCCAGGTTTTTCATGCGGCCTGCTCATATCTATGCCATTAATGATGCTATCTGCCAGTATCCAGCTAATTTTGGTCATATGTCACTAAAGAACGTTACTTTATCCAAACAATGCTTCATTAAGACCAGGAAAGGCTTCATGGCGTTAGCTTATGACGGGGACCAGCGGGTACTTTTCTACTCAGAGAATGTCACCAAGAGTATCAGTAAGGTTCAGCTTAAGAGAGGAGAATATACAAAAACCATTGTAAAGGGCATCGGCATAGTGAAAGGTAATGTTACTGACTTAATGCTAAGATGTTTGGACGTCTCGATATGAGTGAAAAATTCTCGAGAGGGATGTTAAACAATATACAATCAATCAATCTAAAATGTTTGAAATATTGTGCGTGCACTCAATTTAATATATAATCTGTGTATAATATTTTTAAATTGTAAGTTTATCTTTTCATGGAAATTTGAAGATTGTAAAATCATCGATCAAGTATTTTTTTTTTATCCAAAAGCGTGAAATCTATGCATGTTGCACACCTATTTCTGAAACTTTACCATTATTATATCGAATGATCACATTATGTCAATTTCTAAGCACATCTTTATGTTTTTAAATATTTTATATTATTTACATGTATGTGTAGATTTTTTTTCATTTCATCCTTTAGTGATAAATACTTGATTTATTTTTATATATTATGTAGGACTTGCTTTTGATTGGATGACTAAAAATTTATATTGGACGGACAGTCAATATCAGTGGATTATGGTGGCCAGACCAGATGGGCGATTCCAGAAACAACTGATAACCGAAAATCTTGTAGATCCACTTGGTATTGCAGTCCATCCACAACGAGGGTATTAAAAAAATAATCCAATCTTATCCTTTAATTTGCTAATTTTGAAAAAGAAACACAACGAAATTCAAGAAACATGAAAAGTTTTCATAATGTACATGTATAACTCGTTTGTAATTTCTTTGAATGATAAATAACAGAGAACTGTACTGGACTGACCCCGGAAGAAAAGTCATAGAGGTGTCATCATTGAATGGCGGTGGCAGAATTGAAAACTTTTTATGGCAATGTCAGAAAATATTACGTCAGCCATTCTTTGTTAGGGCAACCATTTATTCTTGGATTGCACATCCGACACGTAATTTTCATTACTTACATGTACATGTATATAAACTTAACAGCAATTCAATAATTTATTATGTATAATATTTCTGATGTTATGAAATCTGCCAATATCAAATATCGAAAATCATGCCTATTAAAAATTGTTAATGTGTGGAACCTTCAAGGGTTCATGTGTGGTAGCGGCACTAATTATGTAATGACTGATGCAGAAAATATTATCATGTTACAGAATATTTCTTTAACGACAAAATTTGTATCATCTAAGTGTTTTTATATTATCCTTGTAAATGCTATAGTCTGGCTTAAAACAGTTATAAAAATTTAATCAAAAGTTGTTGCAAACCAATATTATTTTCTTTCCTTTTATCAGGTTATACTGGGCAGATTCCGGATTAAATCAAGTTGTTAGTTACGACCTTGAACTAGGCATGACATCTGTTGTTTTCAAATACCAGTCAGCAAACTTCTATGGCATCAGCAAATTTCAAGTAAGACATTTACTCCAAGAAACCTTCCTTAAATAATTGATAGTTTAAACAAAGCAACAAATATATTTGAATGACTAAATTAATTCGAATTGACAATATATTTTCATTGAAATATAAGATTCATTATATTGAAACAATATATTTTGCATATAGAATGGCTGTATGCATTGCATGGATTAAAGGTAATTATGTCTTGATATAACAATACTCATCAATTTGAAGGATTACCTGGTTTGGACAGACCAACTGGACATGAATGGTATTCACATCGCAGACCTGCAGACGAAAAACAAAGTACGGGGAATTCTTCATCCACAGACTGGCACAGCTCTTGACGTCATAGCATATGATGTCCTCAACCAACCCATTCTTGATGGTATTCTTCAAAAAAGAGAAATTAATGCTTTTGATTTGGTTCCTTTGTATGATTTTGACACAGTACACACTTATGAGTTAAGGATTGAGAGACAGAGAGTCAATTTAAATGAACGTAAAGCAAGTCACACAAGTAAATATATAACTGTGTGAAAAGGTTCTAGCTAGGGTAGAGTGCGTTACTCTCGTCAAAGATGGCGACGAGCAAATATGTTTTTATGTGATAAGAATTTAAGGATAGATAATACAGACAAAAAAGGATGCCTGCAATGGTATATATTTATAACCTTTTCTGATTGCAAATGAATTGAATAATACATTTCTTTAATATACTTTATTATAATAATTTGTGAACTTTCTTTGAAGTTCAAAATTATGCCTTTCTGCATCCATCCTTATTACATATGTAATCTATTAATCCTTATTAGTCCATCTGAAGTTGTTATATTCAGATGTTTGATATTTCAATATCGTTTGTATATCTGTCGTTAAATTAACGTAAAGCAAATCGCACATGAAGATAAAAATTGTTTTCTGATAGTGACCTGTGGTGACAACAATGGGTATTGTGACCAGCTGTGTCTAGGACTGTATAATGACTCGTATGTCTGCGCATGCGGAACAGGATTTCAACTTGGCGAAGACTTGCGATCTTGTATATCAGGTAAAACATTTGACTTTTGACAATTTATAGGGAAAACACTATAGGCAACTTACCGAATATTTTGACAATAAAGTTATTTGTAGAATAGGTTTAAAAACTCAAAGCAAACAATCTGGTCACTTTTGATTGAAAAATTTAAAATATTAAAGTAAAGCAGCATTGTATGGAATCACAGATTCTTGTTTCAAAACATGAATTATGGACATCATATACCCATGTAATACATGTACCTGTTACCTTGACAGAGTCTTTGAAGGTTATGAGAAGATTAACTTAATAGTTGCAACAATTTAAAAAAGACATATTTCCATCATCTTTATTCACATGCATGAAATATATGATGATAATGATCAGTATTAAATCTAAAATAAAAACATAAAATATGATCTGTAAAAATAAAATCTGACAGCATTGCTTCAATACAAATTAAGTAAGGGACATATGGATGAGTATGTTGTTAGGAAAAAATAATTTACTATGTAAAGTTTATTTACTTTCTTACATTTATTTGGTAAATAAATACTTACATACCTTTCTTTGACAACTACAGGGTCAGTTCGAGAAAACTTTGTAATAGCCGCAGACTCCTACCAGAAACAGCTTTACCAAATAGATCTAACGTCTGGTGATGTCTACGTCATTGCACCGGAAGTCAGTCACCACAGACCAATCGCCGTTGGCTTTGATCCAGTGAGAGGGCACTTGTACTGGACAGATAATGATAATTCAAAGGGAAAGGCTATCCAACGAGTCAATATAGAAGGGAGGTCTGCCGAAATTGTCAAAGCCCTCGATGAAGGTGCATTTTTGTGCTCAAACTTTTGAAGGTGGTAATATTTTTTTAACGATGCACATATTTAAGGAAATAGTCATGGTTGGCTATTTAGAACGTCTGGATATAGTATTCAATTTGACAAGATTTTCATCTACACAAGAATGTTTTGTTGGGCTTGTAGGATTTTAGAAAATGGTTACTGTCTTACTTGTGCATACTAAAAAATCATAAAATGGCAAACATTGTTTGAGACTTAAAAAAGTAGATTTTTTTTCAAAAAAGTTGATCTAGTTTAAATACTTACAAAACATGATATGAATAAATAATTCTTGATAGCGAACTATAACAAACAAACAAACAAACAAACAAACAGGTTTCTGGCAAAAAATTCTGCCCAGAATTGTTTAAAGTCTCAATGTTAATCTTTCATTTCATGCTATGTTTTCTTTCTGAAAGCTTACTATAAAAATGTCATCTTCACAGAATTAAAAGAATCAATCAAGCAATCTTCATAGGAGCTTGTTAATCATTATATGAATTTAACAAATACAAATTAATAAAAGGAATAAAGCTCAATGAGTGATGACGGATTTCTGTAAGTTGAAAGGTTTTTTTCCCCATGAAACGTGATATAGAATAAATCAAACTCCTCACCCATTCAACGTTTATTTGTGTTTCTCAATGGATATCTCAATATAATATGATGATAAGTAATTTGAATAATGTCAATTATATCTTTGCTGTTTTTTCTTTGATTTCAGATTCTATTGTTGATGGTCTTGCAGCTGACTATACAAACCGTCTTTTGTTCTACACGGATACAGGCCTAGATCGTATTCAAGTTATTTCAATGGACAACTATCTAATATGCAAGACAATTATACAAGATAACCTTGACGAACCTAGGGCAATAACCATTCATCCTCTGAAAGGGTAACTGAGAGATCAAACATTTTGATAACCATCTTTTCCTAAATCAATTTGTGATAAGTATATGTGTAAGTATATTTCATTGATGCACATTTCCTTAATTTTAAGGCTTTTGTTCTGGTCTGATTGGGGAAGTAAACCAAAGATAGAATTGGCCAACATGGATGGTAGCGAACGAAGGATTTTCCTTGATCTGAATGGAGAAGCCTGGCCAAATGGTCTTATAATAGATTATCAAGGTACTTTCATTGTATAAAACCTGTTAAGTTTATTTCAATTGCTTGACGTCTCAAAATATTTCTTTACACTGATAATAAATGTACAATATCAGGTATTGTACCATAGCTGAACATCTATACACCACATTTTCTTTGTTCGAAACTATGGTGTATTTTGAGCAAACCAACACTTTTCTGTGATCAATATATATCCCACTAATTTTTAACTCCGCCTTCTTACGGTCTAGTAAATCTAACATTTTTAAAATGAATATTCAAAGTTTATTGTATTTATCGAATACAATTCAAAACAAAATTACAAAAATAAACACACACACAGCATTGCACACACATCTGTCCTCCCAAAATAAAAAAAAAATGCTTTAATGAGATACTTATTCACATACATCAAGTACAAAAGTAAATTCTCTCTGTCTCTGTCTCTGTCTCTCTCTCTCTCTCTCTCTCTCTCTCTCTCTCTCTCTGAAATTAACCGTTTTTTTTGAAATAGTTATTTAAAAAGAACAACATACATCTTTTATACTGTCGAACGGATTCTATCGAACGATGGCCCGTTCGGGCCATAATTTCTTGTTCCTCTATTCCCGCCTGATATAACGCGGTCGCACATGTACGCTTCCCGGAGTGATTGATATAATTACCCTCCAACCCGCCTTCTTGACACATGGATTTCATCATGGTTGACAGTCTGTTGACGCCGATGCACTGCTTGCTAAATTTCCTGCAGTCTAGCGCTCGTCTATAGAAGGGTGCGGTCGGATCACTGTCAAGACTAAGGATGAGGCAAATATACTCCTTATACACGTTGTACAACTCATTATCACAGAACATATGCTTGATGATTTTTGGCGAAATATTCCGCTGGTTCAGACCACCTGAAATATAATCATCAAGTAAACATTAATATGGTCTGCCGAAATACTAGTACATTGTATAACATATTCATTCAAGAATCCCCCCCCCATTTCCAGAAAAAAGACACTTAGTGCTATTCCTGTTTGAAACATTTTTTTAAATAAACGATGCACATAACTCTTAATTCTTACTTAACAATAATGTATAATTCTGATGGACCTTTTTGTTAAATATTTTTGCAGAAATTATAATCTTACCTTTGTAAGTTTTACTGATGCGCCCTTTGAAAATGATGTACGGTCTTTCATTTCCATTATCGTGAAGCTCAAACTCACGGCCAGGAACACGTTAAGTTCCAAGACAGTACCGTTGTCAGAAACATTTAAAGTTAAGCACTAAAAATGGCTCGTTGTCATGAAAATACAGGTAAGGTTATGACAAAAACTGTCCGGTGTCATTACTTTAGAAGACAGGTCGTAAGCAGTTTTTCATTTTTTAAGTTAAATAATTTCAACCAATGTCTGAAATTGCAATGGGGAATAGGACTGACACCCCTTTTGGTGTTGTATGAATTTCAGCCGTTAAAATGAAGTAATAAAAGAGGAGTTTGCGTTGGCGATATTAAACCCTGGTGAAATCAAAACTTGATTTCATTCATTTTCCTTCTAAGATGTTATATTTTTTGTAAATAGAATATCATATATGTACCAATTGATGCAGTCAGTATCAGGACATGTTATAAGCCTTTACGTTAAAAAATAAAACAAATAAAAACTGAAATATTTGATTTATTATAATTTATGTCCGTTGTCATGACAAGATACGAAAATTTAGTCCGTTGTCATCGGTCCGTTGTCGTTACCACAGGCACCTGAAGTATGGATAATACCCCCCTTTTTTGAATGAAAAAAAAAAATGTAAGAATGTATAATATCTCGAAAAGAATGGCCCCATTCGGTATAATAAAAATTTTTATTATACCGAATGGGGCCATTCTTTAAACGTGAGAAAAAGTACAATCTGTTTGCATATAACGACATATAGATGTGTTTGACGGGGAAATTTTATATTTTGGAGATATTATACATTCTTACATTTTTTTCATTCAAAAAAAGGTGGGGGGGGGGTATTATCCATACTTCAGGTACCTGTGTCGCTACTTGACTGTACGTATACACTAGGAAGTAGGTCGAATTTAGTTTTTTAATCAGACACGTAGCATCGTTTCTGAAAGTGGGGGGGGGGGGCAACCTGAGAAAATTTTTTTTATTTACGTAAAAAAAGATGACAAGCAAAAAAAAAAAAAAAACCGCATTTTTTTTCTTGGCCAAACTCGAAAATCCTATTTCGTGGGGGAGGGGGGGGGGTGGTAGTGGCCAACTTTTTTTCAATTTAGGCCAACTTCCTTTAGGCCATAATAAATAAATTGCTAGATTCTCATCCGAATTTTATTAAAAATCGAGGCGGGCGGGTGGCTTTTATTTTATATTTTTATATTTTCAATTTTGCAGATTTTTTATTGACCTGGTCACATGGTGTTATTTTATCTACAATACCCGAATAAAAGTCACTGTAAAGGTTTAGTTATCTCTTACTTCACATCATCATCAATCTTTTTCTACGAATGACCCTTGTTTAAAATATATAGGCATGTATTACAGCAGTTACCATCTTTTCAGCTGTCAAAATCATGTCAACTTTCGCGGGATTTAAAAAGAAAGTAGAATGGTAGATGATTAAATACTGATCCTGATCAGAATTAAGACGAAGAAAAACAGAAATAAAAGAAATCGAGGCGGGGGTATAAAATCGGGGCGGGTGGGGATGAGAATCTAGGAATATTTTTATTATGGCCTTAACTTCCATTTTTTTCCCATATATCCTTGCTATGGATATACTGTGGTAAAAATTTGGGGGGGGGGGGGCAACCATCTTTTCAACGGACATTTTCTATAGTAAAGGTAATGTTGGAGGAAAAAGTGGAGGAGGGGGTAGCCCCCCCTGCCCCCCCCCCCTCCCTGTTGCTACGTGCCTGTTAATGCTTTGATAAATTTCAAACATGCCTTAAACAAATGGGTGAACTAATTAGTCATAAGAAACTAAACGTATGCTATTTCCTATATTTCATATAATGTTCAGCTTTTGTTTGTAATATGTATATGGGCTTCAGCCTTTTTTCTTAAAAAAACTAATTTCAAAGTGAAGGAAGAAATATGCTCGATAACTCTCGATTCCTGCCTACAATTTGCACTCATTTTGTTTAATATTAATGGCAATTTGGCCATAAAATCGTTTTTAATACAAAGAACAGTTAAGTGGTAATTGATGAATTGTTTTAATACCAGCACTATGGCACGCCAAATTCACAAAAATGAGTTAAACCTAGTTTCACAATTGATAAACTAGGTTTCTCGACTGTAAACTATAGTTTACAAACCGTAAACTATAGTTAACGATTCGTAAAGTATAGTTTTCATCTGTAAAACTATATTTAACGGTTGTTAACTATAGTTTACGAATGATAATCTAAGTTTATCTGTCTGTAATAAGCGTTAACAATAGATTTTGTTGATAAACAAAGATTCACGTTTGTAAACTATAGTTTACAATCGTAAACTATAGTTAAGAGTTATTATCATAGTTTCACAAATCGTATAACTATATTTTATCAGATCGTTAAATATAGTTAACGGTTTACAAATCGTGAAACTGTATTTATCAGATAATCTATGATTACAAGTTACTACTACATGAATAAGAAAAATACAAATTTTGACCAGATTGCAAAATAATACAAAAATGAACCCATAAAAAGGATGGGTTGAGGGTTTTTCCATCGCACTAACAGGGTAACAGAAATGGCGCAACAAAAACAAAGACTTTTTTTTTATTTAAAAAATCCGTAAACATGGTAACTATCCGACGGTTTAAGATCAATTAGATTTCTCATAGCGGCATGAATTGAATTATAAATGTATCTGTGATAATTTTTTTTGTTTTTGTTTTTTTTGTCGTTTTTTTTTTCTATAAACATATCTATGATAATATTGTTTTTGTCGTTTTTTTGTCTATAAAGTATACAAATACCACCCCCGTCTTGAAACACAAAAAGCTTTGGTTTGAATTTTTGAAAAAAATTGTCCATATCACCTGTAAAAAAGAATTTTTGTTTCACAGGGGGGGGGGGGTATTTTCCATTTTTCGTTGATTTCTTTTGTGAAAAACAAAAGTTTTACCAAATTTTTATAGTTATCTCTCTTTGTTTTCCCAAATTAGTAATGTTTTATGAAAATTTATATAATAATCTAATAAAAACAATATTAAAAATCCTTCGAATATGTTAACTTTTGAAAATTATAACTTGGCAGTAGGCGGAAAAACAATATGTATTCAAATAGCATAGTATCTGTTATTATATATATCATATTATTTTTATCATTGATGAACTATTCATAGATTTTATGCAAACGTTAATTTAAGAGCTTATATCTCAAAGTAAAAGATTCCCGGCAGTCATTGGTTCATATTTCTCTTCATTTTGAATAAATTTCCTTGCCTATTCAAAAAATTCTTTTAGGAGTGAACATCCTCTGTCTATACCGTTTACACCTACTGTGTGCCCCTTGTCTTGATCGGGAAATGTACCGGGAAAAATCCGTCAATGTGTAAAATATGGCCTAATAATTACTATGAAAAACGTCAGTCAGCATTTGACTCCATGATAAATTGTATTTGCTGTCAAGATCATTGCTTCGACCACGGAACTTTTGAAATTATGACTTTCTAAAACAAGACTTTTGATATTCTTGTTTCAGCAACTTGTTTGTCAATAATTTAATATATACGTATTAAAAATTTCTGTATTTTTAAGTTCGTGTAGATCCAATATTTTATTTTTGTTTTACTGATAATATTTCAGGAATTGTTATATACGTTTGCACTCTATATATTTAAGAACATCAGAGAATGGTAAGCACGTTCGGGTATATACACTACTCCTAAGACGACCCCAAAAAAGATTCAAAATTTTCTGCAAAATGCTTTCTCTTTCTTAAGAGTACATATACATTTGATCATTTTTGTTATACACGTATTTATTGATCAGTCTGACTAAATCAAGCCCTTACTATTTCACTTCTAACAAAGTGTAATAGGGACTAGCTTTAGTCAGACTGTTTATTGATAAACTTTTATGTTAAGAAAAAGACACCGGACTAGAAAAACTTAACAAGTACTGACAACGGACATTTTGCGTTTAAATTGCGATTTCTTAAAGCCTGCTACAAAGAAAAGGATGTCAGTTGCCTAAAACATGTAAAATTAAGTTTTTCTTCATATTTCAAAATAAAAGGACCATTTAAATAAATTTTACGTAAGAAATATTAAATTTTCAGGCTGACGATCATGACTTCACACATGGGCATGTGATTGCCAACGCAAACTCCTCTTTTATTACTTCATTTTAACGGCTGAAATTCATACAACACCAAAAGGGGTGTCAGTCCTATTCCCCATTGCAATTTCAGACATTGGTTGAATTATTTAACTTAAAAAATGAAAAACTGCTTACGACCTGTCTTCTAAAGTAATGACACCGGACAGTTTTTGTCATAACCTTACCTGTATTTTCATGACAACGAGCCATTTTTAGTGCTTAACTTTAAATTTTCTGACAACGGTACTGTCTTGGAACTTAACGTGTTCCTGGCCGTGAAACTGATCAATCGACAGGTTCCTGTGTTCGTCGACACCTCTTAATCCAAAGAGCTTGCAATTGTAAAAAAAGACTGAATAAAGTAATGATTTTGAAGACGAATTCCCTAAAATGTTTTTTCCCAAAGAATTTTTTCATCTTTTTCCGACAGGGGTTCAGCTTGTCGTTTTACGACTCCAACTCCCTGAGCAGTAAGCTCAGACATTTTCGCACTCAGCGCTCGTCGAAATCCTTGAAAATTGAGATTTTTTTCATCCAAAAAGTTTAAACTGTTTCCATTTTCTCGAAGATACCTCAGGACACCCACGCACAACTGATACAGAGATCTTGGTGGGTACTGCGCACCATCTTTACGCCTCGCCTCAAGGACAAACCTTGTCATTATGTCATTCATTTCAGTTTCATTAGTTATTAGAGTCAATTCAGGCATGAACGCTCCAGTAATTTGCATTCTGTTTTTTCTCCATTCCTGAAATGTACTAACACTCCAGTTTGTGTTTTTCCGAGTGTTTTTGCTTTCATAGGACTTTTTAATATTGTCTATTTCCTCCTCTTCGACGGGCGATGCAAAACGTTTGTTTTCTTGAATATCGCCAGGGATTATCGCATCAAATTCTTGCAGCATAGAAAACTCACCAAAATCAGCAGGTTCAACTTCATACAATTCAACTGTTTGGGTCAGCGACAATTCGTTTCGGGATTCTTCGGCCTCAATAATATCTAGGGCTTGAGATAGCGCAAAATCCATGCCGTCTTCCTCCATGTTGATACTCGGACTGACCATTCGAGCACGTGTCTCTTCGTGAGATACCGGTATATCTTGTTTGGTCAAGCGTGCATAAAAGTAGAGTCCCCTAAATTTACTCATAGCATTTCATTTATCAAAAAATCAATAATCTTCTATTACTTTTATTTTTTTGTTTCAATACAGTGCAGCTGCAGTGTATTTATTGACAACATATTACTATAAGGATATAATTTTAATCACATTAATATTTTGACACTTTATCTTAACTATACATTTCTCAGTCGATGTTTTGCACGCTTGATTAAGCAAAGTAACTCTAGATCTAATTTTAGAATCCACGTATACAGGTTAAATAGCTATGGTACAAGTGAGTTACCGTTATGTTTTTCTATTGGTTCGCTATAGATACCCGATGACATTTTGAAACACCCACTCGGGGCGTTGCCCCTCGTGACTGTTTCAAAATGTCATCGGGTATCTATAGCAAACCAGTAGAAAAACATACGGTAACTATTACAAACATTCAGTTCAGACTGCACATTTTTCTTTCACTTGAAAATCAATTATATCATGAAAATTAACCTCAGCGATCCCTTCTTAGGATTTTCTTTAATAAAAAAAATATTCAGTTATGGCATAGCCAAGATTTTGTCTAACAAGCAGCAATACGTTTCCATAATTTACAAGATATTCAAATACGAAGAGCAGCCTATTCTATTTTAAAAGTAAGAGAATTCTAAGGTATTTATTCAGTATTTTTCGTAAATACGTGTGATTGAACTTGAGAGCAAATGAATTGCTTAATAAATGATTTGCCAAATAGAGTCCAAAACCGTTGAAAATAACAAAAATGTATACTAGTAATTATCCACATTAATTTTGCAGTAATATATGTTTTGAAATGCTAGATAGTATAGTTATTTTTACCTTGCAGAGTCAAGTGCATGTACATGATCTTAACTGAATGAACTAATTCAAAACTAACCTTCAACTCACTTGTTAAAGTTATCCACTTTCCTACCCATTGCTGTAAAAAATGACCCTTTTGTGCCATGCTTTTGATTGCTATATCATTATTTATTGACAATTTTATAACTATGATTTGTTTGCGAGTGTGTTGTACATGTAATGTATGTAAAGACTTAAGATAAAAATGCTTGTTTTCAATAAGGTAAAGTTTTGATAATTATCTTTTTTTCCTAAAAAGACTGAATTACAGCGGTTCTTGTGTGTAATTATATCAGATAAAATTATCAATGAATAAGGCAAATGTGTAGAAAAAAGTAAAGAGTTTAGCCGCTTTCTGAATATATATTATATCAAGTTTAATTAAATATTATAAGATTCGTATTTGATTCATTGTCAATGTTAAATAAATCTAAAAGTCAGGGGTTTGTAGGTATGGCCTTTTGTTAACATAAGTCCCATGTTACAATTGGAAGAAGAAAGAATTCTATTGTTCAATTGCTGAAAGTGCCGAGTGTAAATTGGAAACCAATATCGGTATTTGTTAGGGAAATTCTGGAAAGAGACGTCAAACAACAGTTGTTAAATGAATCAATGAATATATTTTCTTTAAAATATTTTATATGTTTTGCAAATTTTTCATAGAGATATTGTCAAAAATATGAATTACTTCGGAATATAAAACCATGTGCCTTTGAATACTTATACCTTGTTACGTATTAACAAAGCAATATATTTTTTGAAATGGATGTGACATTTACACGCAGATCAAAAAATATAATTTTTTTAATTACATAGTTTTAAGGATTTGACTTTCTTTACATTTAATAAATATAAACAGACTAAGACCCTTCAAGGAATCATCTCTTGGTAACTATATCACTTTATTCATATTCACTATCTCTAACATAGAGTCATAGAAGTGCTTCCACATAAGGAAACCAAACATTCAAATCTATTGATTGCTTTATCTTAGAGCTTAAATTCAATCAGATTTGCAAAAAAAAAATCTTTCTGTAGAACAAAACATATCTTTTTGCTCAGCAGTATTAAGTTTTCGCGACCTTGATTGAATGAATCAGCTTTATTACTAAATAGAAAAAAACATTTAAAAAAAACCAAAAACACTTTTGTATACAAGATTCACGTTAAAATAACAGATGAATAAACCGTGTTTAATAAAACTTACTGTTGTTCTGTTTTTGCAGAAAATGTTTTGTACTGGGTTGACGCCAAACAGAATACGATTGAGGCCAAGCCTATCGATGGAGGGGACAGAAGACTTGTTGTCAAAGAGTCAGATGCACATTACTTTGGGATCGCTCTAAACGGCAACAATCTTATCATTACTGACTGGAAAACAAAGTAAGATTGGCAGTTAACTCTAGCTGACCCTTTAGAGTTGTGATTCGTTTTTTCTTATCAATTAGCAAACTGTGTCTCTCTTGACAATTTGTCAATTGGCTCCAATACTGTTGAGATATTGTGACATATAAACCGTAATAGTGATGAAAAAGAATCGGAATGTCTGAGGAAAGTTATAAATATTCGATCGCAACTTTGTCTTGTCTTCATTTCCTCTGTTAAGGAAGTCTGGGGGGCTTAGATTTGAAATTGATCTAAATCTCCTTGGTTTAGATATGAAACTTTTAACAAGTCATCGAATCTATAAATAGATCTAAGACACGCAATATTTTTTTCTCGATACTTCCTGGAGGATTGATGAGATCATGGTTATATCACAGTATATTATCTTAGAGAGCAGCTGCGTTAAAAACTGAATTGCCTACATCAATCTTATCGTTTGTCATTCTACAGAATTTGACCCTATTAAAAAACCTTCCTTCTTGTCTGGTTTTATTGTTTTTTCAAATATGACCCATTTTCAGTAAGCAGGAACAATATATCAGAATAAGTTGACAAGTCTATCTTAGCTAATTTTTGGCTAAAATCCTGCTTAAAAATGCTTCTTGAAGAAAAATTTTGTTGTCAGAATTTTTAGATTTGGGATTTTATTTGGCAATCAGGTGATTACCTTTAATTATAATTACAGTTTTTATATTTTCAAAAATGGTTATATTTGGGATTTTATATGACAATTTAATGTCGATCTACGATTATACATGTACTTATAATGTTACTTATGTGCAAAAATGTTAACATTTTGATGTGTATTTTGTTTATACTATAATGCAATTTAATTATTACTTTGAGAAGACAATAAAGAGCTTAAATACTTACGAGTAAATACTTAGTTACAACATTTTGTGTGAAAAAAAAATCCACAAAGCAAAACCACTTATCTCATAAACCATACATGTATACTGACACAAATCTTAATGCATTTTTAAAACTCTCAATGATAAAAATTTTTGAAAAAAAGTGTTAAAAGTTTGTTAATCAATTTGAATTTATTAGAGCTATTTACTTTGGTTTACAGCTACCTGAAAACGATACCTAAAACTACTGTGAATGGAGAATCTTCGCAAATAAAGCAATTAGGTCCCGGAGCCTTCTCACGATTGAACGGATTGGCTTCGTATAACTCAACATATTTAGTAAGAGGTAATATATATTTTCTCAGATATACGATGTGCAACTTTATGCTTGCCTTTTTTAAAATAATAAAAAAGTCATTTTCTTCGCTTACTTTTTAGGTGCAAATGGATGTACTAGTGTTTTCACGTGTGACCACATATGTATACCCCTTCCCAGACTAAAATTTGTTTGCGCATGCGCAGATGGATATAAAGAAATGGGATATAGATGTATAAAAACTGGTATGACCTTTAAGCATATTTGCTTTTTGACAGTTGCATTATTAGAAGTGGTTATTAAGTGTCAACATAAGCAATAAATTTGTTCTTGTAGATGAAAATGCTACGTCAATAGATTCTCAGGCAAAGTACGTCCCAAGGTCAAGGGCATCTAGCGAGTATATAACATGTAAGTTCTATATGGAAATACATAGAACATTTTAATTTACATATTTCATTATAGAATTCGTGTTGAATTATAATCACTCTCAGTATTTCATTATTTAAATACTTTATTGATAGTTTAACTTCTCAAAAATATGAAAAGATTAATATTCTTTATTAAGTAAACCTAAATTAGAAAATATGACGTCCCTGTTTACAATATTATAATAATTTTGCTATTTGTAGAATACCCCTTCTCAACCTTCTCAATTAAGATCCATTTAGTTTGGATCACCTTTGGGAAACAAATTCCTCTTTTAACGACATCAAACACATTTCTTACCTCCGACTTGCAGTATGATAACTTTGATATTTATTAACAGATCCCGACTCTGGTTTATCAAAAGGCGGCATCATCGCTATAGCTGTTGTATGTGTGGTAGCCTTTATCATAATTATATCCGCCATATTTGTTTTTACTCGGTAAGTCTGCAAAAAAAATATCATCATTTAAATTAACCAATCATATGGTTGAGATACTTATAAAATATATAATGATCTTTATAATTTAGAAAAAAAAATCGTCAAAACTTTTCTATTAAAATATTCATTCAAAATCCTTAGTTGTTAAAGTAAATATTAATACATTGTGGACAGAATAATAGCATCAAGTAATAGCAATCAAATAAAAACAAGGTGATTTCAATATGTTCATGATACTCTGACGGTGACACAAAAAGGTACATGTACAGGTTCTTGAATATGCAGTTATACAAGAAAATTTCAAAAATATATAGCCACAATAAAAGAATTATACATTGAACAAAATTCAAATGCATGATGATTATGATCAAATTAAATAACTTAAGCGATATAAATAGAAGTTTTGCCAATACTTTTTTTTTTAACATATTTTTTACACTGGATACACAATACCTTTGTAATTAAACAAAATCAATCTACAATGATTATAATACTATTTTCCGGGTTTTGCTAGCTGGAGGACAGGAAGAATAAGACACGAGCGGCTGAGGGACACTTCTGATAATCAAGTGGACAATTTCTACAGAATCACCTTCCCCGACAAACAGCAAGAGTCCGTTAGTTTTGATTCAGGAATTGACCAGTATGATCAAGCACCAAGATCATGAGTGTTCATTATTTTTAATTGCCGTAGAAAATCCATAGACACGTCCTTCACTGACCAAATTCCCCCTAGGCAATACAGAGTGGATTATTATGTGAATATTGTGTCAAAGAATTCTGATGAAAGGAATATCCGATTAGGTGATTTGTAGCTTCACTGCATAGTTTTAGTACGATAACTGCTCATCTCTATCATAGAATCTAAAAAGAAATCCAAAAAAGAATGACAAGAATAACAAAATCCTAATAGTCCTTTTGGATAAAGTTCATCATAAAAACAATAATGTGATCATTAAGGCATTCCATGATATTCATTATTCAGTATGTTTGTAACCATTTATTTCCATTGAATTTCAAAGGCATGGGTATTGCTCATGTCATGTCATGTTCATGTAATGTTTCCAAAAAAAAAACACACCAAAAACTCTGTGATAAATAAGAGTTGTTTCTTAATTTTAAATGAAAAAAAATTGATTTGATCGAGGTATTTTTTGAAGAAAATTGACCATGTAGATTCAATTTTTCAACATTTTGGAAATTTGGCCCTACAAATTTCAATCGCGGGAATTTTTACGTTATTTTAGTATGCAAGGACTGTTCATTTTAGGTTTTAAATATTTCTAGAACAAACACCTATATCATACCTATATCATACTTTGCAAAAACCAACAGATATTTTGAAAGTTTAAAGTTTAAAAAAATTTTTTAGCCCGATTTGCATAATATGCAAAACGTGTAAGGTTTTAACCTTTGATTTTATTTGTTGAAATACTTCTTATGTTCAGTAAATCAATTTAACAAGATCCTTTTTATGAGAAAATATAAAATTAGCCAATTAGAGCTTTGAAACCCAAAATAATATATTTGTTTGATATTACTGCACAGAAATTACTTATACTTGTTCTTAGAATCATATATAAATATATGCATAAATATTAATCTCTCTCTCTCTTCTCCATTTCAATTCGTAAAGCGAAAAAAACCATATGTAATGTTTACAGTTTGCGGTAAATTGTAAATATTTGCGGATACATTTTTTTTATGTTCAGTAATTTCCGCTTTATGGCTTTTATATGTTCTTTTCAATTACATTTTCTGTAATTATAGAAATATGTATGACAAATAATTCTAGAAATAAATTTCAAAAGCATATGCTTGCACATTAATCATAGATAGATTTAGCGATATATTGTAATGTTAAGCTTAAAATTCAAACCAATGTTACGTACTTAAGTATTACTCCTTTAATTTATATCAAGATTTTTTGAAAATATTTTGGATGTTTAAAAACTCAAAATCTTTCTGTGCCAATTGTTTTAATTTTTTTGCACTTAAATTTCATCTCTTTGGTTAATTACTTTAACCCTTATTATATTTGATTATGTCATGGCAATAAATATAACCTTTTTTACGTAAAATAGTTGTAATAAATCATTAAACAAATAGCAAATTATATATATTTTTTGTGACCTTTTTGCACTAAAAAATAATTAACATATTTGGGGTATTAAAAAACTTAATAGGCAATAAAAAATTTTATATAAACTTTTTACGACTTGAGTGCTGATCAGTCACAAGTATCGAATAGTTTAAAATAATGAAAGAAAAAGGTGGGGTTTGTTAATTTTGAAATATTTGTCAAAATATGTTTTTCAAAAAAAATGGTGTAAATTTGACCTTGACTTCTTTAATATATTTTCATTTTTTGGAAAAGATTGTTGAGGGATGAAAACAGTTAAAAATATAAATTAAGACCTATATTAAATATTTTTAGCAATATCAAAACGGAAAATATTCTCCGAGTAGAAGTATGTGAGGCTAAATTTCCATTACATTAAATTTTATGAATGTGCAGATTTGCAGAATTTTCTGCTAAATATGGTTCCACCAAAAGAAATTTCATAAATCTTGCTTCTTTGTAGATTTTTGACATTTTTTCATTGAATGTTAAAAAATTTTTGTTGAATTTAAATATGTTATAAAAATTGAATTTTAATTATCTTTTGAAGTATGCATTTAAAGGATATGACTTATGTGCACTCATTCTTTTAATCGTGGGAATTTTTACGCTATTTTAGTATGCACGAACTGTTCATTATAGGTTTCAAATATTTCTAGAACAAACACCTATATCATACTTTGCAAAAACCAACAGATATTTTGAAAGTTTAAACTTAAAAAACTTTTTTAAAAAGTTTTAGCCCGATTTGCATAATATGCAAAACATGTAAGTTTTTTATCTTTGATTTTATTTGTTGAAATACATCTTATGTTCATTAAATCAATTTAACAAGATCCTTTTTATGAGAAAATAAAAAATTAGCCAATTAGAGCTTTGAAAACCAAAATAACATATTTGTTTGAAACCCGAAATTACTTATACTTGTTAGGGCAAAAAAGCACAGAATAATTAATGAGCTGTAATTTTCTTTCTCTCCTCCAAATTACTCCAATTACTTTATTTGAAGTATTTTACATGAAATAAAATTCGATTTGTTGTCATGATTAAACCTAATTAAATCTGAAAAAATATATAAATATATGAATAATATTAAATTGATTTATGTTAATATTACAGTTTGAGTGCAAATTGTAAATATGTCGAGTACATAATTTTATGTTCAGTTATATGCTTGTTTATCCATTTTTCTTTCCTATTTTGAGTTACACTGTATGGTATCTAAAATATACCTTGAGAAATAACCTTATTAAATTCAAACCAATGTCAGGTATTACTATCCTTTAAGTTAATAAAGATTAAAATGACTTGATGTTTAAAACTCAAATCTTTCTGTGCCAATTGTTGATTTTTACTTCATTTTGTTTTTACATTGTCATTCAATTTATTTCTTTGCCAATGTCTTGTAATAAACATAAGAAAATAGCATAGATGTATATATATTTTTTTACTTATTCTTTAATTCATTATAGATTACGTTACCTAGCAAGTGAAAGAGACGAATGTATATAATTTGCTTGCTCCCTTTGATAAGAGACAACAATTTGTTGCGAATTTAAAAACCTTTTAAACTAGTAAGATACTACTACATAATGTAGCAGCATGAAAACAGTTTTTTTTAAATTTCTTTATACTCCTGATTCGAGTGCAAGAAGTAAATAGTCAGTAAGTATATATCGATCCTTAGAGAATTATGAAAAATGGTTACGAACAAGACTTTCAATCTATGACATACAGGTAATAGTTTTTTTTACATATACATGAAAACTGCTTTTGATATCTTTTAAATGCATCTTAACGATATCAATATGTGCACTTTACTCAAGAAGAGAACTCATATATTAAAGAAGATAATCTGCTGAGTCAAGAAAAAAGCGACGTATGCAACTACATTGTATATATATGTACCAGAGCTACGAGTTCAAAATCTATAATAATAACTCTAAAAGTTACCCTAGGGTACATGCATGGCTTTTCTTTCTTTTTGTACAACCCTAACCCATGATCAATTTAACACTAGCTAGGCCTTTTGATATAATAAACAACTGCTTCTTCAATAAAGAATTATTAAATTGGAATCTTTATATTTTTGTGATCGATCATAAGTCATATTTTTGTTGATTATTACTCTGATTCGACAAACAAACACTCTATAGTCAAACTTGATGCTGGAGTTTCTCATCGTCAATATTGACAATATTTATTTAGTCAATTTAGGCCAGATCTTCCAACAAACTGTTGAAATTCCAATAGTGGTTTGCAATTATTCTCCTTTATTAGCTTTTTTATATTCACATAAAAGAAAATATCTATTTAAAAACACTATACATAAGATCAGATGCCTGCTGTAACCTTCAACTCGATTTCAATGACGTTACAGATATTATAGAATATAGTTAAGGTCTTCCATTTCCAACGGAAGACCTTCTACTGATTCTGAAGATTAAGATTATTCTTATTATTCTTTTTTTTTTCCTTTTCCTAGACGCCAACTTTGAGGCCTCATATATATTTCTCAATGGATTTTGCTCAAATTTTCAGAGTTGATAGACGTTACAAACTTTATCAGAATGTTATCTAACATTTCAAAAAGTCACTTCCGGTTTTGAGTTATTTCCCTTTAAACGAAAATTTATAGGCTTTTGTTTCCAGACAAAGGCTCAGAGACGGCTAAAGCTGGAGCAAAAATTCTACTGATTTTAGATAATAGAAGGATTGAAGTTGTGCATAAATTTTTGTTTTTCGATTTCTCTATTCAAGATGGTGCTATATAGGGGTCAAAAATTAGAACGCCTAAAAGAGCGAAAATTTACACATATTTTGCTTTTTATCTTCTAAGCTAAAAATATTTTGTTAAAACATATAGAACAAAATTTGTGCAGAATTACAAGATCTTTTGAATGATATCTCAAAAAAGGGCTGACCCCTAAATTAAGGGATCTAGAGGGGCCAAAAAATTTTTCAAGATATCTCAAAAAGTATTGAGAATTTGTTATACATCCAAGAAGCAATGTTGTTCAAAATGTCAAGCTTAATCTAATGAAGTCAAAATGCTTCCGGCGACGTCACTTCCGGTCAAACCGGAAGTAGTCAGAAAATGCATATTTTTGCTGTTTTTGACAAGTTTTTGGGTAACATATATCACAAGAAGCACAAAACTAAATTTTCTGTCGTTTGATATCACTTCCGGTTTGATCAAACCGGAAGTAGCCAAAATTAGCTTATTATGTAAGGTTTTGATGCAAAATTGAAATTATTAAGTGACTGGAGACGACTAAGCTCATTGCTTTCTTTTTGCTGACGTCACCTCCGGTCAAAACAGGACGGAAGACCTTCTCGTTGCTTTGCAACGAGCTTTGCTCTAGTTACTTCAATTTTTATTTTAAACTATATATCCCAGTGAACTCTAACATAAATACAGCCACATCTGTCTCATTGACTTTAGACGAAAACGGCAAGCAGTCAACTAATCTGTATGATATACGAGATGACTTCAGCCTTATTACAGTCATCTCTCTTGATCTTTGTGTATTAATTCTCGCCTATCACCTACATATTACCAACACAAAGGGCTTTCGGTGGTTGTAAACCGGTCTACATAGGATAGCAACTTTTCCTAGGGGTATTGTTTCTAAATCAATTCTTTGATTCTTTGCACGGATCACATTTTGCATCTGATCCCACCTCTGATGTTTTGAAGGTCTGTGTTTGCTCTGTTCCTATTTTGTATTGTTTAATGGACTTTTTGAGCTTGAATATGTTCGTTATCTCCTTATGTTTCATCATCACAAAAGTTTAGCGATTTTCTTTATTTGCAGTCTTTGTTTTTACTCTTTTTGAAGAAGAATATGCTTAAGTTCTTCGCCATAACAAATAAGGAAGCAGAGTTGCATGTAATCGATTGTAGACACTTAAGAGATTCAAAGAAGATCTTGACTGCATACTTACTTTTCAATAGAAGTTTTA